ATCCAGTACAGAACTTTTTTTAAAAAAAGAGAAAAACCTGGGGAGGGCTTCTGCACAATTCTCACTTTACATATCCCACACTTTAGCCCTAAGCGATGATAAGACAGCGCTTGTAAATTTGTGCGATGTAAAGAGAATGAACAAGGAGAAATGCTTTCCCTTTCATGCACTTCTAATGCTCAGGGTCGCCAAGAAAAACTAAGAAGGGGGAGATTCCAGCTACTGTACTGCAAAAGTTCTTTAGAGAGCACAAAACGATTGGAATTTAATCTCCATTTTCTTTAAATGGGGAGAAACCTGCCCAAATATTCTTTCTCCCTGGAAAGAAACCACCGAAAAATGAATCAAGGAGTATTGTGATGTTGAGCCTTTCTTCTCCTATCCATCTCGAAGACTAAAATGCCCCAATTGTTTAGCCAGAGCCATCACAGTCCCTGACATTCGTGGGCAGTTTTGCAGGGTTTAGGTCTGGCCTTGCTGCAACCAGACCCTGAAGATGGCCGAGGGATCATCTGCAACATCTGGGCTGCAGAAAGCCAGATGATCCCCAGAGGGCAGCAGAGACCTGGGAATGGGAAACGGTTGCTGCATCTGGTGGTTAATCTCACAGCCCAACAGAGGACATGTCTAGGACACATGACGGTATCCACAGAAGTAAGGCAGACTTTTCGTAGAAATCCCGCACAAGCCCTTGACGCGCACTGGTTTGTCCGTGTGAATGCAACAGCCTGAGGATTTGGCGGCCACTTTTTCTCTGCTTTGGTTTCAGGGCCCTCAGAAGAAACACCTGCTGAAAGGGAAGCCAGAAACTCCGGAGGAATTATAAAGGTGTTCTCTGAAGGAGGCGCTTCTAAAGGACCGCCAAGTGTTCAACTCTGGGGTGTTGTCAAATGCAGGTGCAAAGTTGCTCTCTGTCCTTGGAATGGAATAGTTTTCATCAGTCTTAAGAAAAATGATAGCCGTGTTGAGAGAGAAAACTCAACATTCATAGTAAGGAATTACGGGGGAATAAAAAAAAAAGTCAGGACGGCGATTGGGATGACATGATTGAAGTGGTCCCCATACTGACTTTTTTGACCCCCACCCCACCCATGGATGTCCCTGGCTGGGGGACATTTCTGGACAACCCAGATATTTGCATACTTTCTTGCCCCTTTGCCATATTATGTAAGCTTGATTTTTCATTAGTCACTTCCTGAAATCTCCCAGGACTTTATTGCAACGCCTTCAAAAGCTTATGTGAGCGCATATTTGGTCAAATGACCCTCTAAAGCAGGGTTGTCCAAACTTGGCCACTTTAGGATGAGTGGACTTCAACTCCCAGAATTCCCCAGCCAATGAAGTCCACTCATCTTAAAGTGGCCAAGTTTGGACAACACTGCTCTAAAGGCATCACAAGAATTTACAGAGAAAATTCCAGTAGTTTGGTCATTCTCTCTCCATGAAAGTAATTTGTCCCATTTTGTATTCTTGATTGGATCGGTTCCTTAGTTCTTCATCTGTTTGAAACTTCTTTTCCGAATAAACAGCAATCAGTTTGACAGCGAACATTATCTTTTCAGGCTACCAGAGGAAAGTTCATGGGCATCTGTGGGGGGAGCAAGGGGGGAAATGACATCACATGGGTCGTATCACAGGCAAGATTATCTTGGCTTGTTTGTACCTGACACCTAGGGAACATGGTTCATCCAGCAGTTCAAGGGTGCAGATGATTCAACCAAACCCTTCATAATG